CATTCCAAGCATGATCTTTTGTTTACTTGTTTATTTATTTATCTATTTAGATGTTTATTTCGTTTATTTATTCGATGTATGTCGTTATTTCGTTTGTTAGGTAGTCGTTTGTCTACTTATTTATTGAATTTTATTCCCGTTTCCGCTGCTTGTTCATGCTGCTATTCTGAAAAACTACAAGCCTATTGATGGTATTTATTACCTTCTTTTTTCTTTTTCCCTTCTTTTTTAAGGGCTACGGCATCAAGCTATCGTCATCGAACTGACCGGTTCTGGGTACTTCATCATTATTTCATTCATCAGGATTCGTACTCAGATGTGCCTGTTTATCAGCAGTTCATGGGTGTATCCCCTTTTTTTTTTTTTTGTTTTTTTTTTGCCATTCTGTTTTTTTTTTTTTTCCCAAAAGCATCCTGTGTTTTCCCTTTCCCTGTTAAGTAGTTATGGATCCGTACATCTGGGTACAGGTAAGTCCTCATCCGTGCAAGTACGGATTCAAACCGGTGGCCCCTCGGCCTCAAGAGCCAAGTCCCTTAACCAGTACACCCAGGACATGGGGTTCAAAAGTGGGACCATACCACCAGTCATGATATCCACCCTACCCCTGCAAGACTGTAGTGTCCAAAGACTCCAGAGTCAAACACAACACCTCACTCATCTCCCATGGACACGGCAATTCTGGCACACTTCGCGCTCCAATCAGTAAGGTTTATAACTTTATAGTTAATGCTACTTTGAAAAAAAAAAAAGAAAGGCAAAAAGAAGAGCCCCTCTGTCGGGCCTTTGCCCTTTTTCTGTTTTGTATCCTTTATGCATTATAATCTATAGTACTAAAAAATTCTGTTGTTTTTTGAAATGCAGTTAAATAAACGGCATAATTCTCTATTGAACCAAAAAAAAAAAAAAAAAAAGCGAAAAGAGTAGCTAACGAAACATCCCGATCCCGTATGACGATTTTATTATTATTATTATTATTATTTTTTTTTTTTTTTGGATAGAAAAGTTGGCAGTCTTGAGACGATCCTGAGTAAGGAATGTTGAGAGGTGCAACAATCTTATTGCATGGAAGAAATTACTTTTTCCATCCAGGATCTGAACTCCTTTCTTAGGGAGCTCGCAGGGAAGCAGGTTTTGCTCTTTTTAATTATGATTAAAACTCAATAAAACTCATTTCTTGTGGAGAAGAAGGAATGAAGGAAGGAAAAGAGGCACTTTACATAATGTTTTTTTTTTTTTTTTTTTTTTTGTCTTTCTTGAAACACTAAAAGAAGGCATGCAGGAAGGTAAAAGACAAGTAGAAGAAGAACAACAACAAGAACAAGAACAAGAACAAAAAGAAGTAAGCAAGGAGGAGAGTAGAGGAGAGATTATTCTGCCTCCAAACTCTGCTGTGACCTCTTGGTGCTTTTCCTGACTCTCAAGTGCACGTTTCAATTTACGTATTACTTCTTATCTGTTTATTGATGGCCAACTCTCGGTTTGTATTTGTTTGTCGATTGATGGCCTCATGTCATCAGGTGCTGATAGCCTCGAATGCAAACGTAGGCGGACCAGCAACTGCAGCTGCAATGGCCTCTGCCCGATCGTGGCCTGAGATGGTGAGACTGGTCCCTCTCTCTCTCTCTCTCGCTCGCTCTTTTTTTTTTCTTTTTTTTTTTTTCCGCACCTGTCGTTTTGACATTCATGATGGACTCTGTTTTTGGCTGTTAATGACCACGTGAGACAGAAGCAGGGAGAATTGCCAAGGTGGGTAGGAGGATTTAGGGTTTAGGATTGAGAAAATATAGATAGATTGTGTGCAAATGTACGGTTTATAGTTTAGTGGATTTGTAAGTTTTAGGGTGTAGGGTTTAGGGTTGTAGGGCGTAGCGGGTAGAAGTGTAGGGTTTAGAACTGAGAGTTTAGGCCTTAAACCACCAGTACATCTGGAGAATTCGAGTGAGCCCCTCCATAAAAAGTTAGGGGACTCTGGACAGGGCCTGCCTGGGGGCGGACAGGAACTTTTTTTTTTTTCAGGGCTGGGCGTAATTAGTGCCACCCCAAGGCATGGACACATTTTTTTCTCTACTGGCCCTTCAGACACCCGGTCCCGAGCCTCCGGAATTTCAGGAGAGGCTCAATCAGATTCTCAGCTTGGCTGCGGCCATGTACCGGTGGTTTAAGAGGTTAATCGTTTATGGGTTTTAGAGAGTAGTTTTTAGGGGTTAGGTTCCACGTTTTTAGGGTTTAGGGTTACGGTTAGGGTTTAGGTTTCAGTGTTTAGGGTTTAGGCCGGAGGGTTTAGGAGGTCGGCGGCTTAGGGGGTCAGCGGTTTAGGGGGTCGGCGGTTTAGGGGGTCGGCGGCTTAGGGGGTTTGGAATGCATGGATTTGAACAGGCTTTGGTTGTCCAAGGAGTTTAGAGGGTTTAGGGTTTATTTTTTGCACCCAAGACATTACCCTGATGAACGTAGGAATGAAGGTCTGTAGAGGTTTTCAAATCTGCCAGATTTGGGGAGATAGTACCATGAAGGTGTGGGGAGTTGCTCCCATGACAGGATGCTTATGAGGTACTTCATCCAGTAGCAATGAAGGTCTTGGGGTGGGTGGGTGTGGGGGGGGGGGGAAGGAGAAGGCCTACCTTCTTCCCCTGAATACAGTGCACCCTGTATAGAAGTGACCTTTCCTGTCGAATACAGTCATAAAAAGGGTGCATTATGTTCTGGGCCACTACCCGTACCCTGATAGGATGCTTGCAAAGGTACTTCATCCAGTATCCATCAAAGTCCAGGGAGCATTTTGTTTATTAAATATTTTTTTTGTTTATTAAATATGAGTGCCTTTTTTTTTCTTTTTTTTAAAAAAAAAAGCCCAGGTTCAGGTAGAGGCTCCTGAGTTAAATAATCTTTAAAAACTTAAAAAGCCATCAGGATTCGGGGAGCATTTTGTTTATTAAATAATATTTTCGTTTATTAAATAATTTATTTTGTTTATTAAATAACTTTTTTTTAATTAAATAATTGAATACGAGTTCCTGAGTTGTGGCTGAATAGTGCATGGTAGTGCATGCTTACAACTTTTTGTTTATTATTTTTTTTATTTTTATTTTTCTAAGTCATAAAGGCAGTTTCAAGAACAGAACTGTTCAAAGCGACGCACATGTGGTTGTATACCGTCCAGCATGCGTACAAAATCCAACGTCATCCTCCTCATCTGGACCATGTGGTTGTCTATGTTCACCATGTGGGGACCACAACAGACTGCTGTGTTTGAAACCGGATTTTGTTTTACTCGGTATCTGTTCCTTTCAAATTGTACGATCTTGATTTTCTTTGTTTTGTTTTTTCCCCTCCTGAGGTTGTGGCATGCCAATTCTCACCGAAATTTTTTTTGTGCTGCTCGTAGTCTTCTTTAAGTTCTTTTTTTCCCCCCTTTTTTTCCCTTTTTTTGAAAATTTTCCCCTCACTCGGTGAATTTCTGACATTTCTGGAAACTTCGGTGGTGCTTGTCATCGTCCTGCAGGTGCAGCCTGCTCTCCTCACAGGCACACTGGGATATGTAATTGGAACTGCAGTGGGGTGTGCAGTAGGAGGCTTGTTACATTTGCTTCCTTGATGACAGATAAAAGTCTTCCTAAGGATGTGCAAAATTTTTGGGGGGTTGGATTAAGCTGGCTGGTTTCTTTGGAGCAATTACTGGGTTCGCCTTCACGAGTCTCTAACCCAGGTATAGGATGACATCACCTTCGAGCGCAGATCCAACCATTTGTGGGCCATCCTTTAAGTGTATTGCCCTCTTTCTGTTCCTGCCTCGCTCAGTAAACAGTCCGTCCACCTGCCTCCTTGTGTCCCTTTGTGTGTTTGTCTGCATGTGTGTGTCGTAAACTGTCACCACAACAACACCTTTTCCACCCAGATGAGTGGATCCGAAATTGAACCAGCTTTACCTCTAGAGCAATGTATGTGCGTGTGTGTGTGTGTGTGTGTGTGTGTGTGTGTGTGTGTGTGTGTGTGTGTGTGTGTAAGGTAATATAACAAAGCAACACGATACACGGGAACCTTGTGATTGATTCCCTCACCTAATGCTGGACTGCGTTCCCATTCGTCGGTCTGTCCCATGCCACATACCACCAGTACCCGCAGACAAGTCCAAAGGTCAATAAAAGAGAAGATGGAGGAGGAGAGAGAAAGAGAGAAAGAGCGGGGAGCAACGATGGCATAACCATCAAGGTTGGTGTAGTGACCACTAGAGGAGGGATGACACATCCCTTCACATCATACTTGCAAGCAGACGGACCGGACGAGTGTCCTGTCCGGTCCGCTTTGCCACGTGCAGCACCCTCCCCCCGGACCAGACCAGACAGGGCCGTTTTTTTTTTTTTTTGGGGGGGGGGGGGGGGGGGGGGGTTGTAGCTGGTCGTCGGGCGCACATTCATGCGCCGCGCGGGTCCGGTCTGACGGTCTGCCGCACGTGCGGAACCGCCCAGACGGCGTCCGCTTGCAAGTATGCTTCACATGCTTTTAAGCGCTTGCTCCCATCAAGGCTCATTAGAAGTGAGGTGTCCTCGTGCACCCGGCTAAGATGCCCATGGAATATCACGATGCAAAAGCCATTAAGGCAAAACATCGGTGAGGTGAATGACGGAGAGGTAACAAGGCACTGGACAACAAGAGGTTGCAAGTCACATAGGATGGAGGACATGGGGGAGGAGGGTGGGCAGACAACCAACACAAAGCAACAAGTGAAAAAGGCACGAAGTAGCAATACCAAGTTGGAAAAACGGAGAACAAAAAAAATTAATAAACACGGATGATGACAGACTGTTTCGTCGGAGTTGCACCGACTCATCAGGAGGCTGAACCCTCGACAATCTGCGGAGTCTTCGTATTGGATAGTTTGGGTCATGAACCCTTTGACCCTTGTTGAAGGCAGACTGTCCCCCAAACAGAACACAGCAGCGGGCAGCAACCCTGCGGAGCACCAGGCAACACAGTAGAGGCAACATGGCTGCACAACGCCAAAAATGACTGCAAGGAACGACACGACGCGCAGGACAAGCAGTGCGGCAACCACGCCGTGAAGCAAGGCAACACCAACAAGGCAACCATACAGCAGGGGACGACAATGCTAGCGGTCGAGTAGCACATCAACCATGCAGTGGAGCACAAGGCAGCACCTACAGGGCAAGTGAACTACAAGGCGTGCAAGCAAAGGACATGGAAGGCACGGCCAGCGGATGAGCGGCAAGGCAGCAGAGAAGCGAAGCGCAAAGGCAACACCAACAACATGGCCACACCACACAGCGAACACATCAACCTGCAAAGAACCACATGCGAAGCAAGCGGGACAGACAGCAAGGCAGCGGCAGAGCGCAGACGAGGCAGTCCACACATCCAACACGGAGCAAAGCAGCACATGACCTACTAACATCATGATTGAACCTCGCAGACTGTTGGTTCCCACCTCCCACTGAGCCAGGGAGTCACTCCGACGAGCATTCGTCATCACCCACAGGCAACACAGACATCCCGAACTGAGAAGCCCCCCTAAGAGTGCAGTAGGCACTCCAAAAGAGGAGCCACCGACTGTTTGGCACTACTTAAGGGTGCTCAGTTTGGTAAGCAAAAATACTTAGAAAAAATCAGCGGGAGGACAGACAACAAGAGGAAAACAGAGACATAAACCTGATTTTGTGTGTGTGTGTGTGTGTGTGTGTGTGTGTGTGTCTCCGTTTGAACCTGTCCATCTGAAGTTGGCAGAAAAGCACCTTCCGAGTATGGAAGGATTGGGTCTTGGCCGGGCAAATCTCTCTCTCTCTCTCTCATGCACACAGAGAGAGAGAGAGAGAGAGAGAGAGAGAGAGAGAGAGAGAGAGAGAGAGAGAGAGAGAGAGAGAGAGAGAGAGAGAGAGAGAGAGNGAGAGAGAGAGAGAGAGAGAGAGAGAGAGAGAGAGAGAGAGAGAGAGAGAGAGAGAGAGAGAGAGAGAGATTACATGTCACACACAAGTTAATCCAAACCACCGTCCTGCATGACAAAAAGGATTTTGAGTCCTGTTCTAGGATCCTGTTTGAGCATTTATCTCCCAGGACCTTAGGTATGCGGGGAAAGGGGGTTGCAGGAGAGGTAGAAGTTATTGGCGAGTGTCGTCCTCCTGTTGGCCATCGAAGGGGAGAGATGGTTAATGGAAGGCCCAAAATTCGGTTTTTTTTTTCGCTGCATCACCACAAGCAATGTCGTCGAACATTTTGCAAACAAAAAGCAAACATTCAGGGAAATATGACAGTTTCAGTGAGAAATTCGCCGAAAATGACACCACTATTAACCATTAGTGTCGAAGGGGGGAGGGGTAAAAACACTCAGAGAAGTGCAATCTCCGAGTCTAAAGCCTACCGTCTTCACCCGAAAATAACGCCCGGTCGTTATATTCAACTTACCCTTAAAAAATCAGATTTCTGTTTTAGTAACTTTTTACAAGTCAAAAGACTGAAAAGTTGTGAAAACTCATCGCTTTTGATTTCTTTTTTTGTCTGTCTTTGAATTGTTGGCTGTATCAGGACTGCTGAACATAAACTCTTCTCATTGTATACCCAACTTCAGGTAGAACCAGCTCTTCCAGGATTGTCAAAATTGCTGCCACTCAGAAGCATTATTATAAGTGGCAAGCTTAGTGGAAGTGGAATCATCGAAAGTGCGGTCTCAGTCGCTTGAATCTCTCTCAGATGTTCTTGGAGAAATCGGCTTGGGAGACAGTTTGCGAAAAAACTCCATAGAATCATAAATGGGATTGTGGTGAATCCGGTGATTCATTCTGCATCAGTAATTAGTAGTTAGTAATTAGTAATTACAAAACTAACTCAAGCGTGGTCCCCACAAGGCCAAGATTTCCCGGCCATTTTTTACGGGTACCGGGGTACGTATTGATGAATTATTAATTTATTAGAATATTATTAGTCGATTAGTATATTAGTCAATAATTGTGTAATATTAATCTGCAGCCATCAACAAATAATAAACACTACGGTCACTACCGATCATTACAAAATTTTGTCTGGACACCCCTTTTTTGACCTTGTTGGGTAGCAAAATTTCCAAGATTGCAGGTAAGTTATAAATCATTCTTGACTCGGACTTTGATTTTAACTTCAACAATGAAGTCGCCCCGTTGGCACTCCTCTGCCGGGCATGTGTCAAGCATGCAAATTTGCATGTTGATTCTTTGTGTGGTCTTCTTCGTTGCGTATATTTTGTCGCCGATCTCTGTCTGGGGTATCATTGATTGGGAAAAGAAACAAACCACCCAGGACCCTCTTGTGCAGTTCATCTTCAATCAAACTGGGACTGGGACTGGGACTGGGACTGGGACTGGGATGGGTTCAGGAACTGCAGTAGGTAAGCATGCTTCCTCCGTAGGGAGCCATAGGCCCCATGGGTCCCGTCAAAAAGCCCTTCTGTCAGTTGGTGGTGAGACGAAGACTCACCAGCTTGTCCACTCTTCGCAGCGATGCAGTAGGGCTCATGAGCTCTGTGGCTTTTCTTCCCCCCGCGATGTGGCGAAGATCTTGAGTGTCACTCACAATTGCCGAGCTGGCGGGCATCGCTTCTGGTTTCTCGGGCAGTGGCGGAATTTCTCCCAGCTCGAGGAATCCTTGTCAAAGCTACCAACAACGAAGAAGACACCTCCTTGCGTCATCGGGTGCGTAGCCGGCGAGGTCCCGTGCTTGAAAGAGGCATGCCTTCTTCAGTTCTACTTGCGCCCTCGGACATCTGATATATGGGTCCTACAACAGCTGTATGAGAAGATGGAGTACGAGTTTGTCGCCGGTTTCGAGTTGACGAGGATTCTCGATGCCGGGGCAAACATTGGGCTCGCATCGATCATTCTCGCCAACCTTTTTCCAAACGCTACGATCGTTGCGCTTGAACCAAGCCCAACCAACTTCAAAGTCCTCCTCCTGAACGTTCACCCCTACCCCAACGTTATCCCCCTCCATGCCGCGCTTTGGGATTCCGTGTCCCGTGTGGAGGTCAGCAACCCTGCGTCTGGGAACGAGTGGGGTACCATGGTCCATTCTTCTAAGTCCTGGTCCCGAGATGGAACTGGTGGTCCCGACAGTTATGATGAAGGCAGAGCGGCAGCTCCTGCGGTGACCATGGACTTCGTGGCAAACCTGTTCAATATAACCCATTTCGACTTTGTCAAGATCGACATCGAAGGGGCAGAGAAGGAGGTGTTCACAAAGTCACACTCCAATCGCCTGCAATGGCTGGAGAGAGTGCCGTTGGTGATGGTGGAGATGCACGATTGGATGAAGGAGGGCTCCTCGCGTCCCGTTCTTAGCATGTTCGAACGCGGCGACGGGAAGTATACTAGAATCCGCGATTACGGCGTCTGGAAGGCCTGGGAGAACAAGGCGCTTATCAAGCCGATTCGGAAGCTCCACTTGTCTTACCCAAGCGCTTAGGCGAACTTAATGGCATTCATAGTATGTGTCTATATTACGCGGATCGTCTCGTCGCGTCACATGTATATTATAGTAACACATGCAAGCATGTATCTTCGGGCACTTCTGCTAGAGGTTAGATAGAGGATGTATGATCTCCCAAAGAGGAGGACCCAATGCTTGACTCTGTTTTCCTTGAAGGGCTTGTTGGCTAGGGGCTGCAAAGAAGGGGGAAGGATAAGTTGGAACTGCGTTTGTGAACCAAAAAGAAAAAGGGAAAAAAAAGGAAAAAGGTTGGCGCTGCAGGAAAGGTACTGGAGCCCAAGGAGAGCATGCAGAATAACTGGAATCGTCGCATTGTTCTGAAGAGATTGAGAATCTCAGTATCAGCTGGCAGAAGGAGGAGACGTTGAGCTGAAAAGGACAGGGTGTTGAGGTCTTCTGGAGGAGGGAGAATAGGTTGAGGGTGGGCTGAGTTTTGGCATCGGCGCAGAAATTGTCGAAAGAGACTTGCTGACTGTGTGTTATGTCATTTGCATCTCGCTGGTGTTTGTACAGTAGCAGAAGCGGACGGCATTGCAGTGAGATGTGTGAATGCGAGGGGGAGAAGAAGAAGAAGAAGAAATGATGGAAAGAGGGATGACGGGTTCTGATCAGCTTTAGAAGAGAGAGAGAGAGAGAGAGAGAGAGAGAGAGAGAGAGAGAGAGAGAGAGAGAGAGAGAGAGAGAGAGAGAGATGGTGGAAAAGGGTGTAAGAAACTTCAAACGGCTTGTAGTGAACGGATCCTGCGGGACATTAGATCATATACCGTGTTTTTTTTTGTTTTTTTTTTTGCCCAACTACAGTCACTGGTCTCAGTGGTCTGCTAGGGGAGCTGATACAAGCAGGCACCCCTAGCCAGCCTGTGGCTGGCTCCAATCTATTGGTGGGGAGCTTCACCTGCTGGAAACCGGGTCCAGCGTCCATTTACAATTGATACTCTTGTAGACCATATACTCTTATAGTGCTGACTGTTCCCATACTTTGTCAGGCTCTCTGAGCAAATGGGAGCCGCGGTCTTCGCATGACATCAGTGCCCCCCCCCTGATCAAGTGGATGCTGTTCACAGTGTATAGCTGGGATGGATCAGAAGGGAGAGAACTCCCAGCTTCCCTTGAACACAACGCACGTGGCAGGCCTGGTGGAAGAGTGCCTTGCATGTGTGGAACCAGACGGGCCGTACAGCAGGAGGAAAGTGCATGTGTGAATGCATATACAGTAGTATACACTAAAAAAAAAAAAAAAAAAAGGTAGTATACACTATTATGCAGTCATGATAAGGATGGAGTGTGTTCAGGGGAGGACAGTAGTGGGGGCAGTGAGGTTACGATACCTGCCTTGTAGTAATCATCGGTGGAGAGATCTGGCTACTCAGGGCAGTTGTGCACAAAACAGCTGCCTTTGGAGGTGCTGTGCGTCTATCGGATGCCAATGGGGCGAGTCGGCAGTCTCAGGGGGGTACTTCGCAGCAGCAGATTGATTAATTTCCTTTGGTGATGTTTATAATACTTTATATATTGAACTTGAATTTCGGTGCATTCGATGCCCCCTTTCTTTGCCAGATCCTTACGGAGGTCACGCATGTGTCGGCATGCTTTTTTTTGTCTTGGTATGTTCTTGGTATTGTTCTCTCCCGAGTCCCAACTAAAAGTCGGATCTATTGATTGCTCATCCCTCAAAAGACAACCTATCCTTTAAGGCTCTACCCTTTCAAGTTTCTGTAGATACTCACTTAATCACAAGAACACGGTACAAACTTTTCTGTAGATACTCACTTAATCACAAGAACACGGTACGAACTTACTAAGTAGGATGAAGACACAGAACATCTGCTACTACAGTCTACCCTCATTATGGCTGTGTATCGGCCTGACCCCTCAGCCCAGATGCAATGAAAATGGCTGTATGTTTTGTTCGGGGGGAAAAAAGAAAATTAATTTGAAAAGAGTTGGGTGGACCGAAGACCTTTTGCGTCGTGAGGGAGGAGGAGGAAGGGCAGCATAACTACATTTGCATTGGAAAGACGGGCTCAGGACGGGGAGAGAATGGTGCCTGCATCCACAACAGCACTTCAAGCTCACGAGGTTGGGTTTCCATATGGCAATGGTCGTATCCGGGGGGGGACCCATCAACTCGCAAACCAGGCAATGAGGCAGCCTCCTGACTCTCCTCTCCAATCAAGGACCCATGCAGGGGGACCCTAGCAATCAGTCTCTCATCTCCAAACTACCCCTCCCCATATTCCCCAGCCACGCCAATGTCCCCCCCCC